TTCAACAAAATTGTTTGACCTTCTATTCACTTGATGGGAAATGGTTAAATCTGGCTCTTCATTTTTGTGGATGTTTGTTTTGGTAATCAATGAATTGGAGTTACCTGCAACGAGTGTAGTTCCCCTCTTTTAGTAGACCTCAACAGCTCTACCTTATCCTTTGCTTTTGCAAGTGCCCTCAATGTCATGTGCAGGAAGAGTCACCTGGACCGCAAGATTCCTTTGCCTCATCGCTTCTCATCTCACCAGCTGGACCTAGTGACTCAAAAAGTTAAGAATGTCACGACTCAAAGGAGGAAATAGGGAAGAAGCAGGATCTATTCCAAGCACAGCTTTACATGAAATGCTCTTTAAAGGCAATGGGATCCTCTCCCAGCCTGAAGAAGAGTTTCATGATTGACTTCCTCACCATTTTTTCTCTCAACACTGTTCAAAGCAAGGATGTGAGGATGATTGGCTCCTTTTCTGCATTTACCCAACATTTTAGAGGTCATGGATTTGTGGCCACCCATATCAGCTCGAGTTTTGCATCTCAATGTGCAATTTTCTGGCCTCACTAGACACCCCACCAGAAAGCTGCTGACATGGGATTTGACATACTTGACACCAAGTATTTGGTTTGATAAGAATCGAATGCAAGAAAAAGGTATTTTCTTTTCCCTTTCCCCAGAGGCATGCTTTTTTTATTTTTCCTGCCAATAATCTTTGCCAGACAACAAAATGAAGTTCAAGGTAAAGTTCGTTCCCTAGGTTTCTCAGCAAATTTCTAAAATCAAGCTCGCTGCCATTGTCATCGCCATCACTCTCCCCACCCTCACTATATTGCCTCATATTCTATCTTTCCTAGCACCTAAACAGGTTGGCCTCATTACTTTCACCATCTCCATCACTAGAGCCAATTAATCATCACCATTAACATCCTCCGAATAATGGCCTTAGCAAACCCCAACTGGGAGAGGCCTGTTCCCATCGCTGCAGGAATTTCCATATTAAGACTTTCAAGCTCGAAAGCTCTGGAATACACTAATGGAGAGAAAGCGTGTTGGAAAAGACCCCTGGGAGAAGCTGGGAGGGGAAAGCATGCCCCAGTCGCCTCTCAAAATATCCAGCAAGCAGCCATCGGGGAGCATGTGCCCGTTCTTTGAACTCCCTCAAAGCACCTTCCCTCTGTTCTAAATCCAGGACCATCTTTGTACAGGGCTTGCTGTTTCTGGATTAATCCTTGGCCCTTGTTCAAGCCCTGGACTGCGTCAGGATGTTCACAGACCCCAGCAGGCAGGCACTGCTAAACAAGCTTTTCCGGCAGGACCCCTTTCCTGTGACAC